CATGCAGCAGCTAGCTAACGTGCTCTCCTACCATCTTACAGTACCTAGTTACTATAATTGCCAATAACCCATTGCTCCAAGCTTACGCAACAAGCTATCTAGGAGGTAGGTAGGTAAGTAGATACCTAATCATAAAAAACCAAAGCCCGCGTCTCAACACTCTCCCGAGCATCCCCGTCTTTAGAATCGGGGTCTTCAAAAGCGCTGTGCGGCGCCCGCCGCGCCGCCACGCCCATGTCCGAGTCGAAGCACTTGATCAGCAGCACCTCGTCCGGCCGCTGACTGTGCTTGTAGTACCACCGGTGCGCCCGCCCCGGCTTGATCGTCCACGTCTCGTCGCGGTCGGCCGGGTAGACGATGCCGGCGGCTACCAGGTCCTCGTCCGCGATCGTCGTCGCGTCGGCTACGGCTAGGGGGTCTTTGGATACTGGGCGGATGGGGCGCCAGAGCTGGTAGAGGAGGAAGGTTTCTTGTTAGTTTAGGTAGGTAGGTAGGTAGGTAGGTAGGTAGGTAGGTAGGTAGGTAGGTAGGTTGATTCATTGAATAAGAAAAGGCTTGGTTGGAAAAGGGGGGACTGGAAGCGACACGCACATTGATGATCTGATACCGCCTCTTGACCAGCTCGTCCGCGTCGTCCGGAAACCAGCGCCGCAGGACCAGCTCGGCGCCGTCGTAGGACTGGTCGACGTGCGCCCGCAGCAGCGGCCCCCGCGACGCGCGGTTCCCCCTGCCGAGCTTGTGCCAGTTGGACGGCCCGCAGCGCGTCTTGTGGTCGAATATGAAGACGCGGGATGCTCCGGTGCTTTTATCGTCATTCTTCTTGTTAGTCGCCCAATCCATAAATAAAGCTGCAAGAGTTTTTATCATGTATAAGGGGGTAGGGAGGGAGGACCGCTTACATGTCCTTTAACACCTGCGCCGTCTCCGGGTAGTACCGCGCTTTGACTACCTCGTCGTCTTGGAAGTCGCTCAGCGTCTTGACTTGGCTCGCGTGGCGCAGGAACTGGAAGCCGTGGCTGTCGAGCGCGTATTTCTCTTCCTCGCCTGTTACGTCGTGGATGGTTTTCTGCAGTGGTGTGTGCGGGCGCTCGTTTTTCACCGTGTTGCTTTGGGATCTTGTCAGTTTTTTTTTGTTTTGTTTATCTTTTTGGACACGGGATGGTTTCGTACTCGGCGATCACGATGGGCATTGGTAAAGATCCATCGCCTGGGTCTTTGTAGTAGTTGATGATGGCTCGTACATCATGACGCTTTTTTGTGGGAGTTGCTTGTACGTCATCTTGTGCGTGAGGAGCTTCGAATGTTAGGGGTAGTTGTGTCGCTGCCACAGCCGCTGCCATCTTGATTTTCCTCTTTCCTGTTCAAGGTGTATAACCTAGAATCATCAATTTACCGACTCGTATTCTTTTCTCATCTTTTTCTACATCGAAATCAAATATGCGGGGTTGATTGTTGATGTAGTGTTGTCATCTCATATCGTTCATAATAGCCTAAACCCTGAAACGGACAACAAAGTCTCGGATGCTTAATCGGTAGAGTTTCGTTCGGAGCTGCATATTGGGATTGGGTTTCTGGCGATTTATTGAGGTCATTTTCTACAGTATACCTTCATATATGTACTTTATCTGTGTTTCTGGAGAAGACTACCCCTGATTATATCTTCCAATATTCTTCAAATATATAATTACGACAGAGTTAACACATGGTAACATAGGTAGAGAAACAATACGTAGTATACAGGTATAAGTATTCTGGTATATGGTACATCGGCCCTTATGTCCCCCTTGGGCCTTTCAGTAGTACTGGATATCATCAAAAAGCAGCTGCGACATCATATCGTACACTACCTCCTTAAGTTGAGGTACAGAAAATATCAGTTCTCTCTCAATGTTTCCCCGGGATGAGCTTCTCTAATGTCCTCTTAACCTTGGTTAAAGAGTTCCTGCGTCTCTACCAGATAGTTAGTATGGTGTCGTCGCCACATTGGGGTGATGGGTAGTACCTGTTCCCGGGCGGCTCGCTCCTCGGCGCCGTGCATCAGGTCATACTCGGCCTCGGCGGCTTCGTCCGTGATGCCGCGCTTCATCTCCGCCTCATGCTCGTGCTCCTCTTGTTCGGCATGGTGGATCATGTCGTGCGCCTCGAGGATGGCGGTGTCTGATAGTCCGTGATTGCTTGCAGGCATGATTGATCGAAGCTATTCAGCAGTGATGTTGTGTGTTTTAATGCTAATGTTTGATTGTTCTTTGATTTTGTTGATGCGAATCAAAATCCAGAGCTAGGATATCCAGAGGAAACTTGGCGATCTATATAATCGGGCAAGTTTCCTATACCGGCCATCCATCTCGTGATGTCTTGTGACAAATGACTTCATGTTCGATGCTAAACACACAACACCATGGGAGGCAAGACCAGCATCCCATACACACACCTCGAGACTTATCCGCTCCAAGGTTCGAACGTTTGTTCATGGGCACGTCATACGCTGTCGATCCACCCTCGTTCGTCTGGGGTAAAATGCGGAGGAGAGCAACATCTCCAACTTGCTACCATCGCCGACGCCAACCTAGATCTGACCTCGTCTAGACGGCGCGATCGTAGGTGGTAGTTTAAATTGCCAATCCGCGTCATATGTGACATTGATCGGTCGTGAGGATTGGCGATATGACGGACTTTATCAATTGATACAGCAATCGGTGCTGTTGTTGTGTCCTTCATAACTCGAGCCATTCCACTTGGCGCGGGTTCGAGAATCTAGAACTTTCTGAATATTCCAGTTAGGCAAGTGACCAGTCTCCTTTTTAATAATCTGATATTTAGTGAATGACTTGTTGTATGGCTTTGTTCATTATGTAGGTCGATTTCTATCCCGTCGTGGTAAAGAATGACATTCCCACGTTCCGAACATTGGTCCATCTCGGCAGTCAGCTCGCTCGGCACTGGGCTCGATTAATCTGAGGGAGGGAGCTTGAAGTAGAGGTAGACGGGACTAGATGCTAACTTGAGAGTGTTGATTGCCTTGTAATATCAATTAAAGGGTTGGTTAAAGCCGGAAGACGGTATATTTTATGAAGCATAGGTATTCAGTGAGTACTCAGTGAGCACTTGATGACTATATTTATTAAATGCAATGTTAAAAATATCGGGGTTTGATTTTTGTTGGAGAGAAATAGGATATGTAACGGGGTTACTGATATATCTGGGCTTAGTAACAATCATTCGCTATCCGTCCATCTTACGATCAGGATTCATCACCAGTATTTCTTACGCTGTGCAGTTGGTAGTGCCCTTACGTTTCTCTACTGAGATGCACCGAGCGCTATTTAGGATATCATATACCAGGTAAATGGACCTGTTAACAAGTATTTGAAAGAGCACGATGGTACGCTTGAGCCACGGATATTTGCAATGCCGCCAGCGAAGGGTGAAATGCGACGAAGGGAAACCTTCATGCTAGCGCTGCGTGGACCGCGATGATATTTGCGAAGGTTATCGGGATGAAACAACCCTTAGGTTCCGCCATGAAGCGATTAACCACGTCAATGCGGCTACGACGTCTTAGTCATTTGCTATTACCACCGCTCCGAGAAAACATAGACGAAAAGCCAGTCCGCTGCTAATGTGCCTAATCGGAAACTATCCCTTACCGCTTATATCGATCCATCCGATCTTACGGGGGACGAATCGATTACTCTGGAGCTACAGGATCGATTTCCGTGGGCAAAGAGTATTCCTGCTAATCTACGGGTTGCTAAACATGGGTAAGTATGGATGGCATCTTAAGGTACATACAACAAGTAACCACTAGACCTTAAAAACGGTCTCCTCCAGCTCCCGCCCACTCGCGAGCTTGATCTTTTCCGCTCCCACCATAACGAACGCGATCCTGCAGACTTCGTCCGTTCTATTGTGCCATGCGTGGTTGACTCCCTGTTGGACGATGAATTCACCTGCCTTTACGGTCTTCTCCTCGCCGCCGTCCAGCTCCAGCACAATCTCACCCGACACCACGACGGCGTAGTCCAGACTCAGGGTCCGATGCATGGGCGCACTCTGACCCGGCGCAATGTTTGATATGCAGAATGTGACGCCCGCTGGGGCCGTTTCCCCGATGCGGGGCGGTGTGTTTGCTAGGTCTTTGGGCTCCTCTAGGTTATTCACTGGTATCGATGTGCGCGCGTCGAAGATGGAGAAGGAGCTTGTGCCTGGTCCGAAGGGCGAGAATGGTGTAAGTGTGCGGTCCGAATGGAATACGGATGTTCCGTCTTCTTTGTGGATTGTGGTTACCACGCGGGCACCTGTTTCGAGGGTGATGTTGGAGCTCATGATGGATTAGATGGTACGTAAGGCCGACAATTTACTGTTCAGATAATAGTCGCGAAGCAAAGATCACTGGAGTAGGATATATGTTGAAGTCTTCAGCTTGCGATGAATCGATGACAACACGCTGATCTGAACCATCGAGGCAAGTAGCTCTTTTATACTCGAACCTACCTACCTACATGTCCAGCGATATACGTCTGCCTGAATAATCTGAAGCTATATCGAAGATACGTACCTCGCGGTGCTAACTGGATTCAGTAATCAGCACGAAGCTACGAATCCTCCAGCTGAATCTCCGCATCTGCGAGATCCTAGTATCGTGAAGTGATCCCTCAGATAGGATTAGACGATTGACATTCTACTGTTAAAGCTCCTTCGTTCGCCCACGGGCATGTCGTTTTAAGGAGTTACCCGATGATCAGCGATGCTAGTAGCCAAATCAACCTCGGATCCCATTTCGCAAGTAAATAAATAATACGCGATATTGCAGAAGAGATCTATTACTATACTAGTATGTAGACCTCCGACAGTTGTTTTTAAAGGCAGCACAAAAATACTGGTTCCGACGATTGTGTCAAACGATAGATAACTACTATGCAAAAGCGTGAAAAGGGAAATCAAAATGATATTGCGGAAACAATAGAGAGAGAGAAGAGCGAACAAAAAGTAAAAAAACATGCCCTCACGCCGGATTGAACGACGGACCCTGTCATGTCGACTGCGCATGTTGCTATTCAAACGAACAGAACACGATATACGAGTGACATACTCTACCACTGAGCTATAAGGGCATTGGATTTTTCACCGGATTCCAGTGGATGTTAGTCGGTTTGTTATTGGTCCTTATGTAGCATTAGCGCATCATTGTGTTGCTTCGATTCGATAGTTGATTTGAAATTACCCCTCTAAGAATCTAGTGCAAATAAAAAAAGATGGTGGGAAACTTTTCTACTTTTCTTCATTCTATCAATCTTAGTCCAAATATTAAGCAGCACGTCCGTATATCACCCTACCTAGCGGAAGATTTCAGTTTCACTCGCATCGAAAAAGCATAAGCCTGGAATCTAATAAAAAATGTCTTCAGCCCTGACTTACAGCCCGCATTCAGCATCTATGGCCGAAGCTCCGTTGTGGATACCTACCTCGGGCCAGAATATGGTGAGATCCACATCCACGGTAGGCATTTCAGCGGCCCTCCGATTCCGAAATGGATAGAAAGACGGTGTTGAGGTAGATAAGGTGCTTGAAAATGAAATCCAACCCCCCAATGACGTGATGGTTCTATTTCAAGACTTCAACTAATCTGAAACCTTTATTCGAAACCATTGCACCATAGCGAATCTTAGATCTTGGTTCGAAGATTTCTAAAATGGTACCTTTGACACCTCCCGTATCTCTGCAAAGAAATGTTCGGAATTCTCCCTTCCTAAAGGGGAACCGAAAACTCCGACCACACCTCCCAACAACCACAGATATGCTATCACACAAATCCAATTACATTGTTCGAACTACCATATGGACAAATGAATGACGCCGAAACATAGATGCGGTCTAAGAGCTCGCGTTTTCGGTCCAAAAAGCCCATAACATGAAGCCGAGATCTGATATGCTACCAGTCTAGTCGAGATACTGCATTTTTTTTTTTACCAACAAGGAGGTGCACATGTGAATATCTTTTAAATGTTACCGATACTCTGGATACCTAGCATTCACATTACCTTTTCTTGATGTATATGTCGAAAAATACTACCTATCCGGAGCCTTACTAGGTGTACTCTCGACTGGTGAACTCTGCCTGAGCTAGGTAGCTACCTCTCATGGTTACACCTCATCCATTCTTATATGTAGCATCGCATGTATGGTAGCTAGCTAGCTAACTGGCTCATAAATATCAGAAGGATCGTTGGTGAGCCGCCCAACAAAGAACTAACACACTACACCGAACCTCGGTTTGATATAAGTCCCATCCTCGACTCTCATGTGGGAATATCGGACAAATAACTGACGATTTCTACCTCTATTACTAAACCTCGCTGACCGGACAGTCCGTATAATACCAAGTGACTTAACCCTAGCCCCTCCTGTGAAGACTATGTTTACCTTTATAAACCCCCAGTCCGGGCTGCTTGTCATAAGCAGCGAGTCATCCAGGCCACCACCATACCAAAAGGCTTCGTTGGGTAGTGCCCATCTTCCAACTTAAGATACTCTCCTTCCCGACATCTTAAACGACCAACTCATAGGATCAAGGATATTCCACTAGCTATGGCAGAAAAGCAGACACACCTCACCCCTCCACCGCGCACACTAGCAAGCATGGAGCTTGCGCGACTCCATAAGGCCGCCAGCGATGAGCTAGACGAAGACCCAGACTGGAATTTTGGCCGTTTGCACAATCCCAGCGTAGACCTGAAGCTAGACGATCTGATGAAGCCCCGCGTAACCCGTCGCTCAACCGCCTTCAGACAGTCCATCGTCAGCGTCTTGTCCTCCATAGGTGACGAGCAGGCCATATCCCAGATCGTCGACATCGAGGCTGGTCTCCCTCCGCTTGGGGTTCATGCTACTAAGGGGAGCGAGTCGACCCTGGGTGAGGGTGGCAGCGAGGATGAAGATCTGAATGTTGTTGGCTGGGATGGCGATGATGATCCGGAGCACCCTTATAACATGCCTAGGTGGCGTATCAACATTACTGGCGGCTTGCTTGCCTTTTTGGCTTTTATAACCCCTTTGGGTTCTGGTAAGTTTTTTTTGGTTGGCTCTCCAACATGCCTGTCTCATGACTCAAGACTCTTGGAAGCTCACAAGAACATAGCTATCCTGGCTCCCGCCTCTAGACAAGTCCTCGCGGAATTCAACAGCACAAGTGAACTGCTTGAAGCCTTCGTCGTATCTGTATATGTTTTAGGGGTAAGTCGAAAATTGGTACCCACCCATTTGAAGTTGAACCCTAGCTAACTGGCATTCCATAGCTTGCCTTTGGTCCCTTGATATGGGCACCCTTGTCAGAGATCTACGGTCGTCTTTACGTATATCACGGCACAAACTTATGTTTCATCGCTCTTACCGTCGCCTGCGCCAAATCAACTTCATTAGAAATGCTCATCGCCTTCCGCTTCTTCGCCGGCTTCTTCGGCTCTTGTGTACTCGCCAATGGCGGCGGGACGTTTTCAGACATGTTGCGTCAGGAAGACCGTGGCATCTTTATGGCCCTCTTTGTCTTGGGTCCTATCATGGGACCTGTTATCGGACCTGTCGGAGGAGGCTTTCTATCGACTGCCAAGGGATGGCGCTGGGTGTTCTGGCTGGTAGCTATTCTCTCCGGTGCCACCGCGGTTCTCCTCATCATCTTCACGAGGGAAACCTATGCGCCCGTCATTCTGAAGCGGAAGCTAGCGCGCTTGCAACGCGAGACGGGCAACGCCAACCTGCATCTCAAGAACCAGGACGAACTCACGCCGTGGTCCATCTTGCGACACAACATCGTCCGCCCCCTGAAGCTCACCCTCTTTTCCCCGGTGTGCATCATCACGTCGCTGATGATGGCGGTGATCTACGGAATCTTGAACCTGCTGTTCACGTCCATCTCGCAGGAATACCAGGCCGTGTACGGGTTCGCGCCGAACATCTCCGGCCTCGCGTTTCTAGGCCTCGGCATCGGTTGCTTCTTCGGTATCATCTCCGTCGGGGTGGGGTCGGAGCTGTACTCGGTGCATCAGGTGAGAAAGACCGGCGGGGAACGAAAACCAGAATATCGTATCTTTTTGATGCCCGTGAGTGCTCTGCTCGTCCCGGCCGGCTTGTTCATCTATGGATGGACGGCGGAAAAGCATGTCCACTGGATCGTCCCTATCATCGGCGAGGGGGTCACGGGCCTTGGCATAATGTCTATGTTCATGTCCATCATCCTCTACACCATCGACTCGTTCGCGCTGTACGCAGCGAGCGCACTTGCCGCCAATGGTCTAATCCGTTCAATCGCCGGTGGTCTTCTTCCGTTGGCCGGTCTGACCATGTATACGAACTTAGGCGTAGGATGGGGAAACAGTGTGCTGGCTTTCATCTCCCTGGCTCTGTTTCCGGTTGCTCTGCTTCTGTTGAGATACGGAGAACATCTGCGGATAACCTACCAAGTGAAAAACTTGTAGGTATGAGGACACTTGGACAATTATCAGTGCTTTATTGAGCTCATAAATCTCCACTTAGGTTTATGGCGTGGCGCTTATTGGAACAGCGGTTTTGCTTTGGGCTTCTACATTTTAACGACACATTGCCTAGAAGGGTGACGGTATGACGGGTTACTAAACAGGGCGATTTGGGAATGAGGAATCTAGCAATTATACTTGAGAGGGCGTTAATCTATAATTGAACGAGTCTTTTATTTCCTATCGACGGATGTTGAGCATGTGTTTTGTCATCTTGATTGTAGACCATCACCATCACGGTCTCGTCGCTATCAAAAAAGGGGCAATTTCGCAGCAACGCTAATTTCAAAATAGAGACGCCAATACTATATACAACACAATTCCTCGCGCCTATGCTTGCTAGGTAGTTTATACATTTCCTCATGGCGACTATCATTGGGCCTCAATGACTTCAATAAGCTTGTGATCCACCCAAGCGGCGATAGTGCGCTCCGCAAGGGCATCGACGCGCTCTTTAGTCTGCAAGTCATACCCACAGACGAGCCAGATGATGTTGGTCATATATGAGCGCTTGCACTCGATCATGACGTCCTCGTCATTGCGATCGAACTTCGGCCCATCGAGGAGATGCAAGGTTGCCAAGTAATGATCCAACACCTCCATCTCATGCGCGCGGCGATCCTCAATGGTCAGCGTGGTGGAAAGAAAGTAGACGAGGTCGTGGAAGCACGAGGCGAAGTGAGACACCGACCAGTCTAGGAAAAGAGTGTGTCCTTCGCGTGTGAAGTATATGTTCCCCATGTGCGTGTCGCCGTGTAGGAATGTGCGGAACTTGGGGTTGTGTGTGGCGTAGTACTTTTCTTGGGCTTTACGAACGCGTGCACCGTTAAGCAAGTGCTCGGGAAGCTTAGGTCGCCCAGGCTCTCGCACGATGCTGTCCCATTGCTCCGTGATTGCCATCAATGGCGCATCGTATCTGTTAGGCATCCCTATTCCTCTTGTTAGCTCGTGTTATGGACGGGTTTCATTTAGGGTTGACCCTACACGAGTATTTCTCCTCGTTCACTCCCCAGAACTGCGCATGCAACCCGGCTAGTTGGGCAGCACCTTCCAGCACCTTTTCCAAGGGATAAGAGCCGACTTCAGGCGGGAACGTGCACCCCTGATCAGAAAGATCCGACATTATGGTAATGCCCTGTCTATCACTCTTCCCTGCCCACAAGCCTTTTAGCAAACTGATGTGCTTGATAGATGGAGCGATTTTGGTGTGCTAGAGTTAATGTTCACGACCGGGTGTCGACGGTGGTCGGATCGAAAATACCTTTCACACAGACGTGCATCGGCCGCGAAGCTGCATCGGGAGTTTCGTCGGCATACTCGATAGAGAAGAAGAGCGTGCCTCCTGTGCCTAGCTTGCATTCTGTCAACGAGACCGACCTGATGCTGTGACCAAGCTTAGATCCTAACCACTTAGCTGTCACCTCCGAGGGGACTGCCGGGAGCTTCTCTGCTGATTCTTCGGTCTTGATTGCCATGTTGATTCTCTTCTGAATCGATAGGATATACGGTCCTAATGATAGTAGAAGAGGTGATTGTAAAGCTTGTCGGATTTAATAGCTGACTCAATAGCAGGCCGATTCTGCTTT